TTTATGTAAGCACAGTCATCGGTCAAAAGATGACGTCATCTGTGATAGATCACTCCCCATTCCGATTGGAGGGAGGAAGAGGATTTTTGGGTAACTCATTCTTGACTGTCTTGAACGAATGCCTTTCAGAAATTATGCATTATATTGGACGTACAGGTGTGGAAAGATTCGAAAATAACCACAATTACTGACATCAGAGAGACTGGCATTGACTGAGGTGGGAAATACGTTATGCTGATAGCAGGAAGTTCCGCCTGCTGGCTCTACGCCCTTTCTACGGTTCACCTCGACACCTCATTATGACCTCTGACAATGGGTCCATTGGATTGGGCGAGGGTTGGGATGTCAACGTCACATGCTGAAAAGTTGGTGTCCTGAAGTCAGTTGTATCATCAGGCCATTAGCCATCATTGATGGCTTCTTGTAGTTCTCCATTTATGCATCATTTTTTTTTTCAAATTCGATCAGAATTCCTCAAATGAGCGCTTAGACGAAATTCACAAAAGTCAACATGCTTTAGCAACTGGTCATGTTTAATTACATGCTGGTACTTCGTGAATAGAAAGGCTGACAAATAATGACGAGATGCGTGTGTGCCGCCATTATTACAAGTATAATTTATCACATCTTGTAAACGGACTAGATTATAATCCCGTGCCACCGTTTTTAATGCATCTGCAGCCATAAGTCCTCTTCAGCTGTCAAATCTGACATGAAGAATGCGTCAAATGTAGCAAAGGCCGAGCCCTCTTCTACAAAAACTTCACTGAATGTGATGCAGCAAATGAGGAGTCAGAGAAGGCAGACGTGAGAACCGAGGTAGCGATTGAATGGGATGTGCTCATTTACCTGACAAACCAGGTCAAGGAGTTGTTAATGTGGAAGATGAGCTGAGGAGTCTGAAACCCCATCATGTTCTACTGTATCCGTATGAATGAAAGTTGGGACGTTTCATAGTTAAACTTTTATTTGCTTTTCCCTAGCTCAACTTTTACTACCGTCGCAGCCACCATCTAGAAATGAGTCATCCACCTTCGGTCCGAAAGACTCTGACACACACACGCACACACCCACACACACCTCGTTGTACGCTTTTCTGTTCACATGTGACCAAGCACCATACACCCAAATACACACACAGGTGTCAGTTCTTCGTGCGTACCTCCTTCTTCTGTTTGCACTAGAACCTGTGGACTAACAACTGGACCTTGCACGCAAATCAAGTTGGCATACGCCATTGCGACTCCAAAAGTAGTGTAGAAGCAGTAGCGTTGATTTATGCACATTCAGTTGGCAATCAAATCTGTTCATATTAGCATTCATCTCATTACTTGAAGCCAAGTTAATCGATGCATTCGCATAAGAATGACTGACTCCGTGAAATGGCTTTTGGTCTCTATCAACTTGTTAATCTGAGCATCCATTAATGGCCTTTAAGGCATTACACTTTAATGTAGTATTTCTCGTCAGGCAGTTGGCAAGCGATTTCTTCCAATTGCCAAAAAATTTTGCCTCCCAATCGGTCGTGATTGTGGTTTTGACGGTCGGTCGGTCGGTCGGTCATTTTGTCGTGGACACAGCATTGCGGAAGGACGAGGGTGTATAACGATGCATTAAACCAAATGATGGGAGTGGCATTTCACTTTACTTTGACTAATTTTTCCACTAGGAAAAGTTTCTCCTACTTGGGTAAATGTCTGTCTCGGCTGATTTTATTATTATGCATATTTCAAGCAATGTCTAATCCCAATGTGATCGTGCTCATCGCCCAACTTTATACCTACTAAAATTGGTACACGAGGAGATGCGAAAGGAGTGTTGGCCAGACGTAGGTTTGTACCTGCAGGAACTGCCCGCCCACCCTCATGCCTTTGAATCACGCACTTCAAGAGAGGGTTATTAATTGCAGTAGATTTATTAGGCATTGAATGCAGAAAAAAAAACGAGGAGAGGAGTATAGATGAGCCAAATTGTAGATGTCACTCGAAGAGGGATTCCTCACAATCTTTACACTCCGGATTTGCGCTCGAATTGACTTAAATGCTCTTGCATACATTGCAGTACTTGTTACACCTCTTTTTTTTCAGCGATTCAAATTGCAACACTTGTTTGGTACTTTTGAAAGTGGATAAACAATGCCTTTTATTTGGATGCTGAGGCTAGTAGTTCACAAAAGTCAATTGGTTTGGGTAATGTGTTGCCTCCATGACTTCTCTCACCAATGTAACTTTAAGTTGATTGTCTGTTTCGTGGAATTACAGTAGCTCGTCATTGTCAACACTTTTTTACGACTTCTATTTAAACATCCTAGACGTAAAATGCGTTTCAGAGATGTTGGCTTGAAGGTTAGGAAGAAAAATTGTTTCCCTTTTACGGATCACCACGACAGAGGTGGGTTCGTTGAGCGGATGGCGTGGTGGCTCACCTTATATCGAGGCAATTATCCACCTGATCCGAAAAATTTGCGTTTATGCAGCAATGCATTCACTCACATTTTAGGATTTAGACTTACATACTTAAAAATCGGCTCTATGGTGTTTGACGTGCTCCCAAAGCTCCCATGAAGAATGCTATGCCTGTGAATTGTTGGCATTCGAAAATTGGCGATAAATCTCTTGCAGACTCGCTTGCATGGCTCAATCGCACTTCTCTCTTACTCTAGTCTGTGTTCGGCACTGCCTGCTTTAGCGATTTAGCCGATTTTATTGGGATTAATCTAAGAGGCATGGAAGGAAGAGAAATCATCATTCAAAACTGGCCACTATTGAAAGCTATCTTTTCGCGTCACATTGTAATTTGCACTCACCTCCTCTGTAGCCCCACTTTCCTGTTGGTTTTAAGTCTTCTGAAACCAAATATTCATGTGTCTTAATATATATATTTAATCAGAATCATAAAGTTAACTATTTTGTCATCGATATATGCCTCCATAGGCGGCATATTTTATATTTCACCTTTTCGCAGCACTCGAGTTTCATAATTCACCTGACCTCGGGTCGGAAGTTGATCTTCTACTCGACCTCCTCGCAAGAGGCTCAGTATCTTTTCGCGCTAAGCAGTCACCTCCACGAGCACCAGACTGTGGCTCATCTCGCCTCCCAACAGTCTGCACGGCAATTGGAGCAGCAAGGTTTGGACACCCCCTACTTATACGACATTTAAGTAACGTTTTTAAACTTAAAAACGGCATTGGATTGCGTCTGGATAACGTTATTTACGGAAATTAGCATCTTGCTAAAAGATTTTGTTGAGTTTTAAGTGTTCTATGGCATCGTTATTTTGACAGATCGATTGCAATACAACGAAGCGTACGTCTACAGTGCGGGCGAGGTGGTGACCACGCGACGAATCCACGCCGCACCAGACAGTCAGGCGAAGGGAAGAATGTTGATGGAGACAGTGGAGTCGTCGCTCTTCCCGCAGCTCTCCAATTCCAATCTCAAAGGTGATATGGATGAGCCAACTCAATCAGTTTACATATGAGTGAGGACTGAGAGGTGCAGCCGTTTCTGCTCCCTGTCATGTCCTATCTTTGCTCCTCTTTTTCTCCATTTTATTTCTATTCGCCTCTCATAGCGATGCGATGTCAACAGGTCTTATTTTTTGGTTTTCTTTTGTATGATTTTGTTTTGTTGTTGGTTTACTATGAGAAGGTTGGATAAGCATATTCCTTACGCGTTTTTATTGCTTGACTTTGAATAGACGAGAAAAAAAGGGTGGAGAAGGTAATACTTTGTTCACATCTACGATAGACGAACAATTTAGTGTTAATCTGACGACTACTGAAGGATGGGCTGAACTTTCGGCCAAGCAAAAGCCCCACAACATCCTCCTCTCCATGAATGCAAGTATCTGGTCATACTAAATGCCTGCTGTTACCAAAAGCGATTTCTCTATACCTTGCGCAAGAAGGCCAACTTGGTAACCGTAGTGCTCTGATGCCTCCCGCAAGGTGAAAGAAAGCATTAGTTTGAGTTATATCCACGCATTTTTAGGATAGAGAAAAGGAGTGCGCTTTAGTTTGACCCAAAGGTCAACTTACGCGCACAAGAGCAAGACGAGTACCAAAGTAGCCACCAAACACAGGTGATCTCACATGGTATTGCGTTGCCCAATTTTCTTTTAAACGACGTCTTCGATGCTCTCCACGCTGTAGTGTCCGCTTCAGCCATTACATCACATCCAGCCAGTTTCGAATGGATTTGGAGTCACTTTTGACTTAAGGGTAAAATTCGTTAAGAGGTGCTTCTGTTGACCACCACACGTTTTTTAGGAATAGACGTTGATGCATCGGTGGAAAATGGATGCGTAGCAGATGTAACAAGAACAAACACAGTCCTTTATGGGAAGAGGTTTGGCAGTGTTATCTTAGACATTTTTCCAGATGCTTCACAGTGGGATCGTTTCCGCTATTATCGTCTTGCCTGTATGACACGGAAATGGGTTGACGCCAAAGAACAGGTGTCACTCTCAACGCTTCCGTTTTGAAGAATTTTTGTAATTTTCGGTCGGAAAATGGAATGTTTTGTTTATGTGAATACCTGACGTTTGGCGGTAACTTTAAGACTTGTCCGATCCTTATACCCATGGGCCGGCCTTGGGGCCATGCTCAGGTTTAGTCGCTTTGCTCCCCTTGGAATCCATGTATTCGGCTTCAATTATTGCCTTCCCCACTCTGTGGGAAGTCTCCGGACACTACGACTTAGACAGTCCTTTAAAAGAGTCAGGTTTGTTTTCCGCTCCCCACAATGCAGAAAAAGGCCTTAAGTTGGACTAAATACGTGTATTATAAGTGAAAGAGAAATAGGGTTATGGCTGGTTCCGAATACTAGCCATGTCAATTAGAGTAAGATGATTAAACACGTAATCTCTGGGCATACGGTGTAATGCTTTGTTTATGTGACTATATGAGGTCCGGCGGTCACTTTAGGATTGTTATGACCCTCGTACTCGTGGGCTGGCTTTCGGGCCATCTCCAGACCCACTGGCCCTGTTGTCTTCGGAATACATGTATCCAACCTCACTTACTGCCTTCTTCCACCCTATCAGAAGTCTTGGGACGCCACAACGGTAAAAGCGGAAAGTGAACCCCACATTTTTCCAGTGACCTCAGTCCTAGCAGTACTGTTTGTTGCATGCACCTATGGTGTGGAGGAAACGCATTTTCCCAGGTGACGGAGAGCCCCTGAATCCTTCAAAACGAAAGGATTTAGACTGACGTTTGCATTGGGATTTACCTGATTTCAGTGTTCCACAGACAAGCTGTTAACAATTGAAGCGGTACCGCCGCGAACCATCTGGAAAAGTTTCGTGTCGGTATTTCTTCTACAAAATCCGCGTATATTTGTCGGAAATGACGCTACGGTTCTTCGTATATCCGAGACAATGGCACATCCCATTTCCTGTACCATATATGGTTTAGACCAGGGTTCCTCCGTCTAGTCCTGGAAGCAATAGATGGTTGACAGGTGTATGCAGGCCCGAATTCGACAGTCAGACCTAATTTAACTCCAGGTCCAGTTGAAGCTATTGAGGAGATCAACTACGTTTCTTCAGTCTCGTGTAGCTGTCGAATGGCGCGGTTGGTTTGTGGGTGCGTTCTTGTAGTACCGAAGAAGTTGTGATGGCTGGCATGGGAGGTGTACGAGGGAGGGATCGCCAAAGACGTTGCTCAAAAGGAGAGAAAGGAGGTGTAGTTCCTTGTTTATATGTCCACCTGAGGTTCAGCGGTCAATTTAGAATTGGTCTGACTCTTGTACTTATGGGGTGGCCTTCGGGCCATCTCCAGGCCCACTGGCCCTGTCGTCTTAGGAATACATTTGTCCAACCTCAAAAACTGCCTCCTTTCAACCCTATGAAATGTTTGGGGATGCTACATATAGAATGTCACATAAACAAAGTATTACAGTTAATCCTGGGATAAACTAAGGTAATGCTAAATTTAAGTAACTTACAACGCTAAATGATACACTACTCTTGTATCTCTGAACAATGAGAAAATAGCTACCAAACCACCCCTCCCGTTTGTTTAAGTCTTCCTTACATTAGTGATGACTGCACGAATTTAGCTCAGGTGGGTGCGTATCCTGTTGCTTGTTTTCTAGTTCCTATTTTACACTGAGTTTTCTCTGCACCATTTTTTATGAACACAGTCTTTTAGATTTATTACGAGCTCTATGTTTATATATTTAGCGTAAGTTCATATCTTACTCATCTCAATCAACTTCCCTGTCTTCCTAATATTTTGATCGATGTCCAGCATTAAGCTTATATTTTTCCTAGCTTGGTGTGGAGAAATGTGTGCCTTAACTACGACTTCACTTCCACAATCCAGTTAGCTCTTATCAAACCACCAAAATGTGCTACTCCTCTTCCACTTGGAAATCCACTTGCTAAGTTGGCTAGTAGTCCTCGAAAATTGGGTTTGGTGATGCAAGTTTTTGCACCTTTGTAAGATGGCTACTGAGGACGGTGACATCGTGACCCCGTGGGATGTGAAGGCAGCGTCTGATTCTGGTGTTGATTATGGAAAGTTAATCGAACGCTTTGGTTGCTCTAAGATAGAGCCTTCTCTTCTTGAACGCTTTGAAAAAGCGATTGGGAGACCTCCTCACCATCTGCTTCGTCGAGGCATCTTCTTTGCCCATCGGGACCTCGAGCAAATCTTGACAATGTATGAGAACGGCAAACCCTTTTATCTCTACACTGGTCGTGGTCCTTCCTCTTCTTCTCTCCATGTGGGCCACCTAATCCCATTTATTCTCACCAAGTGGATCCAAGATGTCTTTAATGTTCCCTTGGTTATCCAACTGACTGATGATGAAAAGTTCTTGTGGAAAAACATCCCAATGGATGAGATTATCAAGTTGGCAAGGGAGAACGCCAAGGACATCATTGCTGTTGGATTCGATTCCAAAAAGACGTTCATTTTTAACAATCTTACTTACATGGGGTGAGGTGCATAAAATTGGCGCATATACATTTCCAACTTGATTAAGTATGGCCTAATGTTATGTGTGCGATAGGCAAAGCTTTGTGTTTGTCTGTACCTGAGATTATAGTACTGTAGGTTGATTCTTCAGCGTACGTAATCTATGGGAAGTTTCTTTCTAATATTTTTTTTACTGAAACATATTGCGCTCTGACAACTTCCGACGTATATCGATTCTTTCAGATATTTTTATGGTGCTCTAAGAGAGGCACCCAATTCTTAAGCAAACTTTATCGTTTAACAGTATGGATTCCATGTATTTGCTGAATACGCACATGAGTTATATCCTTATTACTTGCTTTACTCATGTAGGCAGTGTCCGGAGTTCTACCGCACTGTAGTGAGTATTCAACGCATGGTTACATTCAATCAGGCGCGAGGTATATTCGGTTTTACCGATAACGACTGCATTGGTAAAATCGCGTTTCCTGCGGTGCAGGCGGCGCCCTGTTTCTCCTCCGCTTTTCCCCACATTTTTGGCCACGATGGTGTTGGAGGGGCAAAAGGCAGTGAATGTGATACGAAGAAGGCAGCACCAATGCAGATGTCGGTGGGATGCCTGATCCCTTGTGCCATCGACCAGGATCCCTACTTTCGTATGACGCGGGATGTCGCCCCGCGGCTGGGCATGCCAAAGCCAGCTCTACTGCTGTCTGCGTTCTTCCCAGCTCTCCAGGGCAGTGTGACGAAGATGAGCGCTTCAGATCCCAACTCGGCGATATTTCTTACGGATACACCAAAGCAGATTAGAACGAAGGTGAGTTGTACTTCTTCCACGCTACTTTTCCATGCATCCGGACCCACCTATATCCTTGTACTCATCTAGCTTACATAGGCTCTACATTTAGGTGTATCCATTCCTTAGTGTCAAGGATACCATCTATTCATTTGTGTGGTCGACTGTAATTTGAATCCCTGACTTATGTTTTATTTCCATCTCTAGTGCCTATCTTGCGCTCCATACTGTCGTTACCTTTGCTACCCCTTCTTCAAAATCATTTCCTGCGAATTCGTAATCGATTGGTTTAGCTGCCCGCTCATTTTGCTTTATGCTTATTTGATCGCCTTGCCAGTTATCGCCATATCCACTCATCTCCCTAACTGATTATCACTGCAGATTTACTGTTCAACCTATTCACCTGTTAGCTCTTCGCCTACCTCCTTGTCTAACTAAAAATCCACGTTTTGTGGTTCAAGCGTTTCTTATCACTGCCATCCGTGGAGGTTGACCCCCCTCCCCTGTTAAGCACTTTCCTAGACTTCCATGATAAGGGGCCTACAATATAGCTAGAAGGTGGCATTTCATAAACACAGCAGGAACTCCTTCTTATTCTTCGTTCCAGATCAACAAGTACGCCTTTTCGGGTGGCGGCGCGACAATCGAGGAACATAGAGCGAAGGGTGGTAACTGTGACGTGGATGTCTCTTTCCAGTACCTTCGGTTCTTCCTTGATGATGACGAGAGGTTGGAACAGATTCGTAAGGTTAGCCTTGTTTTAGCTAGTCAAATTTGTCACTCCAGAGTTGAACCTGGTAGCGTTGCATCGCGTGATTCCTCTGTTTCCTATTGCGGATCTGAAGTGATCTTTCAAATCCGTGTTTTGATGCTAAACTTAGATTATTCTGCCCGGTATGGATGTTCAGGACCTAGGGGTAACACTGGCTACTTTAAAGGAGTAGAACAACTCGTTGTTTCGTTGAGGACACATAGAATTAGTGAAATTTCTTTGTAAGTCTTAATGCTGGTAGGGATGGTAGAGGTGTACCAAATTCTTTCCGATTCTGAATACTTTACGATACCTGCAAACGCAAAAAAATTTGCGTGATTTTCGATGTGACTCGCTTCACTACCACTTAATTGGGGACACTGATAAAGTGCCGCCACCAGTTCTGCTACGCAAGCACTTTACAAGTTATTTCTGGAATACAGTGCCATTATTTTTGGAATCCGTCCGCACGTCTGTCATATTTTCCTTGTTACTCCAATTCTTCAGGGCCTGTTTGTCATAAATATGGTGTGGCGTCGGGGAAGACACAGAAGTTGGTGTTAGAAAGTACCTTACCGAGATTGAGGAGATGGGTCCGATCTAGATGACAATTCCCTTTGTCAAGAGTTTCCTTCAGTTAACTAATGGTGATGACTGGATACCAGGCGTGAGTGTTGGTAAATTGGTTACTTTGGACGAACACGGTCAGTGATTGGCGATGCTGGTTGTAATGATTGCTGACTTACTCAAGGTGCGGCTAACGAAACATAAGCCAAGCAGACAACTGGGTAAGGGGTAGCCAAAAGGGCAATCGCCAATGCTAATGAAACCTAGTGGGTGTAGAATGTCATTGGCGGCTTCACGAACCGAGATTGGTTCAACTTCATGCCTTCAGATGATCCTCATCAAGTGTGATACGTCAGATTTGAATAATTGGTGTGCCGTGATCCACTGACGCCTACATCTGCTGGAGGACAATGTGCGTTGCTCCTCTCATGTGCTACCCCTTTCAAGCATGACACGAAAATGTGGCGTTGGGAGAAGCTCGATTGTTGCCCTCTCGGGCATCCGTACACCAGTATCCGGAATTCTTCTCGATTGTGTCACTACATCAGAAGATAATGGATCAGAAAGTGACGTCCAACCTACTACGTTCACCGACTGCTTTACATGCTTGGTGTCCAATAACCCACGCTGAAGTTTTGATGCAACTCGAATCTGTGTAAGGAAATACTTATCCAAAAAGGGGAGGAAATGATGAGGAGCAAATGAGGGAAGGGACGTCCGTAGGCTGGCTGGACGATGAACACCTTGTGAAGGTTTGCAAAATAGATCGCAGTGGATCAAGGAGCATTGTTTTACCTCTCACCTCTTCATGGAAAGTTTTTTTGAGTGCAGGTAAACTACCATCGGATGTTTGCTTCATTTTAAGCAATGGAAAAATCAAAATAATTTCCACTTCCTCTCAACGCATCTATCAGTTGCAAAACTAATTATTTATTTTTTTTATTTAGGACTACACTTCTGGTGAACTCTTGACGGGCAATTTGAAGAAAGAGCTGATCGCCATTCTAACAAATCTCGTGACCCAGCACCAGCGACGAAGGGCTCAAATCACGGAGGCAGTTTTGGATGAATTCATGACACCTCGACCACTAGAGCTGTGATTTGATATCCGTTCTCTTCATTACCGTAGCGGCGCTAAAACGGTGCATAACAGTTGAAGTGCGATAGTAGATGCGATTGTCTTGAACCATCTCGATAAATGGATTGAAATGGCAACACCGACACTCGTTGTTAAGCTCAAATCTGTAGTCCAAAGGTCGTTTCCAAACTATTTATTGTGACTTGGTAGTCCAATCGGCGGCAAGTCTATTTAAGTAACGAAGAGTTTAGGATGCGCGAGCTGTATAACGAGATAACCTTCGCTACAACTACTCTTTTAGGCGTAATGGGGATTTTTGAGGGCATGTTCTACCAGCCTACGGACGTCCCTTCCCTCATTTGCCCCTCACCATTTCCTCCCCTTTCTGGATAAGCATTTCCTTACACAGATTCGAGTCGCAACGAAACTTCAGCGTGGGTTATTGGACCCCAAGCATGTAAAGCAGTTGGTGAACGGAGTAGGTTGGACCTCACTTGCTGATCCATTATCTTCTGATGTAGTAACACAATCGCGAAAAATTCCGGGTACTGGTGTACGGATGCGACTTCCTCTCAACGAGAGGGCAACAATCGAGCTTCTCCCAACGCCACATTTTCGTGTCATGCTTGAGAGAGGTGGCTCATGAGAGGAGCAACGCATGTTGTCTGGTCTGCATCGCGAATCCTCCAGCAGAGGGAGGCTCAACGAAGTGTTCACCGTAGGATTGCGCGTTCTGGTGTGCTCTATAGCATTTTGAGGTTCCGCGGAATGGTTTGCGTAGTATGAAAGACAGGTAGAGACTTCGTAGCTTCGAGATGTAGGAATGTTGATATGCCGATACGGGGAGGTATGGTCGAAGGGCGTCGAGTGCTCAAGTGCTTTTCACTTAATTTTGTGCGCAGGGGTTAATATACTCTCTTGATGAAGGTGTTTGACTACATTTAGGTGTTAAAATCGGGATAGGGAAGTGACATTGCACTTTTCCGTGCCGTTTGATATGCACCGCGGAAAACAAATATTGTGAGATCAGATGGGATCACTGGGTTTTATTTGTCCGTGAATGTATATCAAATCTGATGGTATAGCGTCCCGCGGCTTCTCATCAGATGAACGAAGGTATCACGTTGTACGAAATACGTGTATTCTGCAAGGAGCAGAAAGGACAGGTTCATGGCTCGGTCCAAGGGCTGGTTCACGCATGCAAGAGCGAAACGAACGCTAAAGTAATCGCCAAACAATAGGTGTTCACATAAGCAAAGTATTACAAATAGTTTTATGGATAAAATTGCTCCCAGGGATGGTGTTTTGCAGTCCACTGGTAGCGGTTTTGTCAAAATTCAAAAAGGTGCTCCTAATGACTCCAAGGAATGAAGCCGTATAAGTTAAAAAAACGTAATGTAATTATTAAGACAAGAATAAAAGTTCTAATGCTGGGACCTTAACCGAATACAATGACATGAGGAAAATGATTTGGATATAATTAGCTTTAGAACCGCGTGTTACGCTTTTACTGTTACTTTATAGTATGCACCCTTCTTAAGATTTCTCACACTAGTACATATCTAAAGTCCGCTTTCGATGCATAGAGTAAAATGGTTCTTCTGGAAAGATGAGTTTTGTAATTCAATACATACAGGCCGTTCAAGCAGCAGCACTCCTAAGGCTCGAAAGGTGATTGGCTTACTAGCTGAGTCGCTGGCACTTTTTGCCTGCTGCCGTCATCCGTGATGGGTATGTGTGTGTTTGTTGAGCTTCATTGTCTAGGCGGAATTTGGTCCGCATTTTATAGGCTTTTTGGATCTCGAGAAAGGCGAATACTTATTCTGGGGCTGGATGGTGCGGGAAAAACGACAATTTTATACAAGTTACAAGTTGGCGAAGTTGTGACAACCATTCCGAGTAAGCTCCCTAAGTAGTCGATCATCTCATTATTGTTGCTACTAATTTTTTCTCGGTTGTTCTTTTTGTGAGAACTTCTTTTGGCTCTTATGTGTTTCCTTCTTCATTACATACGGAACTCTATTTTCACGTTAATGTGATTGTGCTTTAGTTTGCTTACAGTTAGTGACGCATTTTTTTCTCATATATTCCGTAATTAGCTATTGGATTCAATGTTGAAACGGTCCATTACAAGAATCTGAAGTTCCAAGTATGGGATCTGGGTGGACAAACAAGTATCCGTCCCTACTGGCGCTGTTACTATGCCAATACTGACGCTATAATCTACGTTGTGGACAGCATGGATCGCGACAGAATTGGCATCTCCAGACAAGAGTTGATTTCAATGCTTGAGGTGGTTTTTTATGTTCTTCTGCTAACCTGACTTTGTTATCACTGATCTTGCATACAAGTACCTTTCGGCTTTTAGGAGGAGGAACTCAAAACCGCTGTCCTAGCTGTTTTTGCCAACAAGCAGGACATTGATGGCTGTATGTCCGTTACTCAAGTAGCCTCGTCACTCGGCCTAACCTCCATCAAAAATCGGACGTATCAGATTTTCAAGACTTCGGCTGTTCGCGGTGATGGTCTCACGGAAGCCATGGATTGGTGAGTCGATTTTGCCACAATTTTTCAAACTTCTTTTGAAGTTGATTGTGCATTCCTTCACTGTACCTTTCTCGGCCTTAATTGTAGGCTTGCTGATACGCTGAATCGGCAGTCTTGATCAAAAAGTGTGTTTCCAATTCTTGTCCAATGGCTGTGAGCATTAAAATCACCCGAGCGCTGAATATTCAAGCTGAACGCCTTCCCTCATGTCCTCTACCATTGTATGTATATTCCAACTCCTCATCCATCAGCTCATCCTCTCTGCTTCCGTCGATTCTACACTCCTCTTCCGTCTTTGTCTTGTTTCTGCTAGTAACGTGGAATATAATCCCGCAACGTTTTGTTCTCATTTACTCATTTTGCGCAATTAGGTACCTGACACAGCACTGTTGTTGACGCAGTCACATAAAGCACTCAATATCCTGATCCATACACATGCTGAACTCGTTTTGGATCGTTCTGCAGAGTTTCTCAGCTATAGTTAGACTAACAACTCTGGGAGTTTCAGCTCGATGGAGATTTCTAACAGGTTCGGTAATCTTGTTGATAAGACCGATTTGGGAAAGAGTGTCACGATTCTACTGCACAGATGCTAGTAGGTTTCGTCAAATTAAGTATTTTGCTTCATTGTTTGCTTTACTCTAAGCATTTTTGAATCAATAGTCAATTATCCGCCTCTAAGGTGGTTTTAGAAATGGGATTTTTGTTGATTTAAATGCTTATTCGAGTGGTAAGTTATCAGGAATTTACTCTCATTATCGAAGTTGAGCTCCTCAATACAGGGCTCTTAGTGACAATTCCAAGGTAAAGTTTCCAGCGTTCAAATCTATTTTATTTTCAGTTTATTTGTAGCAGTTTGCATTTCACTGTAGAATGTACCTGACGGCTGATACCCATCTTCAAGGGTAAAGGAGTCTAAATGTTGAACTTTCGCTTATCCTCCTGATTCAGTGCCTCTGCAACCTCTTCGTGCGTTGCTGGTGGTTGTTCGTTGAGAATCTCATGCGCCATGTGTTGCTGAAGTCGTGGAACCATTACCTAGAGGCACAATGCAAATAGATGCTACTTATCTATTTAAGTAGAAGCGACCCCATTAGCAGTTGTCATAGTTCTCGAATTTGACTTAGTTTTCACTCTATGGCCTCTAATCCTCACTTATTACACTGAAGTCTCAGAACTGACTAACTGTGGGAATGTTAGACCAAACTTCAGAATTCTAGGGACAACTTGCCATCTTTCTCCTGTGGTCCAGGTAGTGTTGAGGTGTGTAGGGAAGGTTGAATCGTTTAAGAAGATCGTCATACTAAGCGGAAAAGATAAAAATTTATGAAAACAACAATCCATACAACAATCCATACTACATCCATCCAACCTTACTGCGGTGACAGAAGATCTATATTTCCTGCAAGCCGATTTTATGCTGCCAAATTTGGCTCCAGTACTGCTTTTCTGATCAGTGCCGCCGATGTGTGTAGCGACAATCGTAGTATTCCCTGTTTGAGCAGGTGCTGAAACATGATCACCGGGTCAAATTACATGTGGTTGCAATTTTAACGTGGTTATAGGTAAGGAGGAAAACGTACTCTGATTGATGGCGAATGCCGTCTCATACTCATAGACCTGCAAACAAACAACAATAAATTTATCGTAGCTAAAATTTCATCGTCCCCATCCACAAATATTGGTCATTTCTATCACTTTATACTATCCACAATGGGATTTGGTGAATGCAAGAAATGGAAGGGAATCCACCACCCAAGTGGACAGAAAAGTGGGGGGTTAGTGAAAGCTGTTGGTGGCTCATGGGTATGGACTAGTTTGGTCAAAAATTTCCCCTAATGTAGCGATTGATTTACTGTCCTCATCCTAAGGAATCGAATCAAAAATTTCACTTCAATAACAGTACCTGAGAAAGCAGATCATCAACTTTGTGTATGGCAATCTTCTTGAGCTTGCGCTCATCAGCCAGCCGCTTCTTCAGATTTTCAATGTCACGCATAGCCTTTTCAATGACTTGACGTTTTGTCTTCTCGTGCACTGCCAACTGCTCATTCAACTCGGCTATCTGCCCGTTCTTCCCTTCAATATCCCCCAGCTACGGTACAAAGGACAAGGATGAGACAAGCTCCCGTGAACCGCAGAACAAGCCTCTGAACATCTATGCTTAGTAGCAACTCGAAGACAACCTCCATCCTTCATTAAAGGCAACCCGTCTAGCTCATGCTCACTCGCTACCCTACTCATGTAGCTTCTCAAAATGCCAAAACTGTCAAATTTATTCTTACTGCCATAGCTGGTACATGCTTTGACTTAATTTGCTCGTAAAAGGTGGAACAGTTTTTCTCACCAACTTTTCAATGTGCATTTGTTTAATGTTGGCGATCTGTTTGTCAGTTGCCGCCTTGCGTTCGGCGATATTTCGCTTTTCCACTTTATCTTTCAACTAGGAAGGAAGGCAAGTATTAACACAGAGGTAAAAGGATATTTGAAAAAAAAAGTAAAATGAAGCAAACTTAAAGTCTACGAACCTCCTTATCTAACTGACGTCGAAGATCGTCCAGCTCTTTATGGGTTGAGCTCAGATTCTCACGAAGTTTGGTCATCTCCTCAGAGAGGTTTCGCACACGCTGCTCGGATAGCATAGCCAAGCGGTTGATCTGGGTCATGCTCTTATTCCGCTGATCCTCAACCGCTTTCAGCTGTGATGGATGGTCAAGTAGCAAAAAAAAATATTAGCATTCTACTTCCTGCATGCCTTTGTACTTTCTAGCGAGATAAAAGTGAAAGCTAGAGTGAGAATAAAGCATCAAATGCCCTCTCTATTGTCACTTGCCAGCAGTACCTGTTTTTCAAAGACACAATGAAGTGTGTTCTCCTTCCAGGTGCTCATCGACTTCAATCTGGAGACCATCTGTTGAAGGTGAATATTCTTCTGATGAATATTGTTAATCTCTCGAGACAATCGTAGATTCCTCTCTGCTAACTCGTCCTCTTTTCAGGGTGAAAAAGCAAAAGTAAAACATTTTGGATGCCTTACAAGGATAAGACGAGGTGGGACGGAAGATGCCATCCAAGGAGATGGTTTTGGGGTCCACCATTTTTTAACTTTGTGAACAATTACAAACTTATAAAATAACTCTATAGACGTACCAGCAGAGCTTTTGGCTCCGCTCTTCTCCTTGATGCGCTCCATTTCCACGGCAGCCTCATCACGCACCTCCGAGATGCGTTTCAATGTAACTGCATGTAGATGGGTGCGATACTCGTCGATGCGTGCCTTCTGCTCAAAGCTGAGAGCGAATAGCTTGCGCATTGCAGTGCTGAACTCTCGACGCACCTGATCACGCACTTTCGCCTCCGATCGTACTGTCTGATCAGAATTCTCAGCCAACTTAGCACGCAGAGCAGTCACCTCTGCAAGGCAGACAGTCAGTCAATAAGTTCATGGAGGTAGGCAGATAGATCACGCATTTGTCCTTCTCACCCAAAAGGAGGTTGTGTGCTTGTTCAGACATTTGGAATTGAACATTGACCTCTGTCTCCAACTCCTTCTGTCTCAACTGTTCACGTAGACTCGCCACCTCACGCTCCCTGGCGTAGAGTAGCATGTGCTGGTTTTTGAGCAGGTTCTCATAGTACATGGCGTAGCTGACAACAAATGAGGAAAGCGAACTTGATTAAAGTGTATAGCAAAGCAAAATGCTTGGCAAGTAGCCCAAAACCCAGTTGTTAAAGTTTCCACTCCAGACTGTTTTGGAACTTAGTTTGACTAGGCTGAACCTTCCAGTTAGTTGTTGCTTTGTTGAATGCATCATCAACTGCTGTAAGATCAAGTAAAGTCAAAAAATACCATATTATTAAGACACCTTATCCTAGTAGATATGCACATGTGCATGCGACCCTCCCTTTTGCGGATTCTAGTAGGAGATCACATCACCTACTTTTCGTAGGCCTCTCTTTGCATTCGCATCACACCGATAGTTACATTTTGAATAAATTTGTTCAGATGCTCCGTATCAAATGTCATGGTCTTCTTCACCGTGTCCTCACGTCCCCCGTCCAGAAGGTTTCCAAGAACTTCATCTACCAACGCAGGCCGTTGTACTGTCAAGGACTCTTTCATTGCCTTAGGAAAGAATACATCATTTAATTTAAGAGCATACTACTACTTGAACTCAGACAACTGCTTGATTGATTTACATCTGACATCAAGGTGTCATAATTAAAAAAATGCTTGCAAGACTATTCATAACTATGCTTTATCTACATTTAAAAAAATGTCAACTTTGTGCATACTACTGAAACGCCAGCATTTAAGTAGACTACTGATTGTTCAGAAATGTATAGGTTACCGACTTCAACGCCACAATTCAGTTAATTAACAGGACAAATAGCGTGCATGGTGACAAGACACGAAAAAAAGGAAGGAAAAAAGGACCTACCGGTTTTTTCCACAAGTCTAAAGGGAGGTTGCCCTCTTCTCGATTTCTCTCTTTTATAACGAGGTCAATTTGTCTCACTAACATCTTTCTGATGTCCCCAATCATGTAGTTTTCAAAAGCCTCAATCAATTTGACCAGCTAGAGAATGGAGGAGAAAGAATAACCGATAATACTGGTCCAATTGAACCTCACCTGTCGTTGCAGAAGCACCATCTCTGGAATACCCTTAGGTGAGATTTGAACATCAGTCTCTTGAAAAGGTCCGAGCGCGAAAATCTCAGGCTGTTTATACTGGATCGACAGGCTTCGAAGGAGGGGAAAGAGGCGTTCACGACGGTAGACTTGACTACAACCCAGTTAAACTATCAATTCACTTCAGCCCCATTACTAGTAAGTGATGGATCAAAAATTATCAACTCACGTAAATTGTTTAAAGCTAAGAGCAGTATCAATATTCTCGAGACCCAAACGACGTTTTCCCCACTCTCGTTTCATCAGCTCAACACGCTTACGAAGAATGAGATATTTCTTGATGAGAGCGTAAGCTGCCATCGGTGTTTCCACAATGCTTAACTTGACTTCTGCATTAGCTAATGGAATATTTTGGGACAAGAATGTGCTCTGAAGGATGTAAAAATATCATGGCAAAGTTTCTAGCTAACCAACTCCTTACTTGCACTCTCAGTGCGTGTTGGACGCGAGGCGACTGCAGGAGATTGACCCGGTTCGTCTTCCTTGGCCTCGGTTTCATCGACAACACCGCCAATTCGTGCTCCGCCTAAACTAGCGCCTCCACCACCACCACCACCACCACCTCCAGATGGTGCAGTTACGTTGGCAACGGGAGCCGACTGTGTGCCATCTTTTCGCTTGTTGCGAAAACGACGCCCAAGGAGGTAGTGCAAATTCTCATATTCTTCAACGGGCAACGGCTGACCTGCTGCGGCTTCTAATACGTCTCCGGTCTCAAGAACATCTTCCAAAGCTAGCACCAATGACAATATTTCACCGTGAACAGTTGGTCTGTGAAGGTGAAGTAAGGAATAGGAAATTATTGAGTAAGACTTCGACTGGACTGACATGTTGATTAATAAATCTCTAAATGGAGAAAAAACTATGAAATGATATGAAATAAGTATCTAATCACAAAAATACTTTTTTACTGGAATTCCACGCGCCTCACTTTTACCACTCAACTATCTATTTATTTGGTGGGTGTCAGGTGTATTTGCAATGAAAGATGAGGAAGATGACTGAAGATCTTTGGACTTCCACCACTCCCACCCAATACCTAATGATGCAGAACTCACTTGTCCACATGTCTCAGACCCGCCATACAGAGACGAATGTTATACTCAATTCGTGTCCACCGAGGATACTGAATGGTGAAAGGACCAGAGGAGTTGAGAAATGACAGCCAAGGATAAAGCTTACGAGCCCTTTCATCTTGTGGCTCTAGCGGTTCGGGCACGGGCATCTCAAGGGCCTCCAAACTCGGTTGACATCGATTGCTCATCTCACCGAGAGGGAATCGACTTCCATCCACCAATTCCTTAATGGGTAATAGGAAGACTCCTTCTATTCTTGTAAAAAAATGTCAAAGAAAACTGCCGCCAACACTGCTGTCACTTACACGGTAAGCCTCCTCATTGCCAGTGGCTAGGAAAGTCTCATTGAGTACGCTGGATAGACATACATCCAAGAGGAGGAACATGTACTCGCGACGGGCATTCAAGAGGTTCACCACTTGATCTGGGTCTTGTGGATCAGGCAACATATTAATTTGGGTCTGAATTTCACGCAATTCTTGAGCTATACCACAATAAAAATGTCATTTAGGCTTGACACAGCATCCACACGGAAAGGATACCTGTCAAACCTTACCCAGATTTGACATAGGACCTCCATCAAACGAGCTAATTTCCTCTAAAAAACGAAAACAATATGCATTGTAGGGAGCGTTAAAGGAAGGAAGAATGATGGACTGTTTATCCACCCCTTTAGACCTTTAAGAAGTAAATTCGGAGTATTTTTATAAATGAATACAAATGGATAAGATAAAACCAACTATTTCAAACTGACGATCTAACTCACCTACGGCCTGATCAATAAGGAGGCTCTGTCCATTGGGCAAAGTGAGACCTTCTGGGGTCACCATGGCCGCCGGTTGTTCATTTATCTCGGCTAGATACTCCGTTGTGCCTGCAACCACTAATTCTGCAGTTGGACTGTTTGCAGCAGCGTTAGCTGCTAAGCGATTGGCGTATTCCATCGAAGAGGTAGGATGCAGTTCATGAACCATAGTTTTCACAGTCTAGTTGAAGTAGGAGTGCAGAAATGTATTGAACAATGGAAGTACAATCGAGGTTGTAGTTTAGAGAGGATTCATTACCCACCTTACTAGCCATAGCATGTATTTGATCTCTTTGCTCAGTAGAAAGCCTCGAAGCGTTGATGCCGAGTCTAGCAAATGCTACAAGGTAATGGACAATGTCGTGCAGTGCACCGGCCACCCTACACATGGAGCGCAGAGCTCGAGTGGCCGCCTCATCGTCCAATTGTCGGAAAACAAAAAGCACCTCAAGAAAGTGAGGGATGAACCATAGGTTGTAGAATCGTGTTCCGTCCAGTGAAAGTACACGACGTACGCGTTTACGCAGTTTGCGAGGATCCATCTTGGCCATCTCAGCGTCATCATCAAGGCCTTTCTTCTCGTACATAGTACCGATGGTAAAGAACTCTTCACTGATACAGCAACAGAAAAAGGCACGTTAGGAGTGATCTCTCGAAGCTGTTATAGAGAATCATATTCCGCACAACGGTTCTTTGGTAGGAACACCTCCAATACTTCATCAATAGAAGCCCAAAAATAATTATCTTTATCCCCATTGACTACTTTCAATAATAATGGCGTGGAAAGTGAAGTTTACATAACAATTAATGTTTTGTAAATGTTGAAGTCTAGTCCTAAAAGGAAATGAAGTCTTTTAACCTAGAAATGTCAATACGGCTGCATTGTATCTACCCACCTACGCAAATTATACTACTGCTTACTGGTCATAAGTAGCATTACATCAACCATTTGCGGATGGAGCATAAATCCGTTCATTCAAGGCTATGGCTTACCAAATATTTGGAACTTTTCTAAGCACCGTAATGAGAGAGGTATAGAGGGCAATAATTTGGCCACGCAGAGCAGTCTGTTGAGCTCGTCGACTGTAGTCATCACAAAACTGGGAGATGAGATCCCTTGAGGGGTGTAAAATGAGAAAATTACTACTAGGGAACAGCTATTGTGGTGAATATGACAAAATTGGAGAGCAATTTTCCCACCTCTTTAGTTTTTCACTCTCAGCTGATGAATTCTTTGCACGATTCTTAACTTTTGCTGCAGCCTCAGTTTTGCGTGCAAAGAGATTCATTACGCGATCTCTACATGCGGTCTTAAGTAAAATAAAAACAGGTAAAATCTTGTAATTCTTTTGAAAATAAGACAAACAGCGAGTTATAATACTATTCGAATTATTTTGGACAACTTTTTACTTTTTCTAATTGAACGGAGAAGAATGCTTCCGGATGAAAGTCCAAAAATGGCATGTGAAAGGCCCTTTCTAATGCGAGTGGAGTCGGACCCATTTGAGCACCTGAGAAGCCTGTATATTCGGCTAAGGAAGTGCCCTCCTGATCGGTAGCTCGACCTTTCCTTAAAGTAACCAAACAAATCATGCAAAAATTGAGGGAAGGAGAGTTCGCGGTCTCCTTAATAAGGCATGTCCGACAGAAGCGCCTTTACTTTTTCTTCTATTATCCTCACATTTAAAGAAGACAATATCTGTTCACTACCTTATGAGATTAGTAAAGAAGCGCAAACTCACTTAGCTCGACCACTGAGAGTTGAACTGTAGAATGAAGGCATCGCATTGAAGGCCAACATTAATGCAGCAATCAGAGCATTTTTATGGGCTAGTTGAGTCTTGAGAATTACCAACAAATTTTCCACTCCTCGTTCATCACACAGCTACAAACCAAAATTAGTTGGTAATTTTTCTTCCAAACAACTAATTTTGTACACTTGCTCGCCCTCTGTCATTTCTTCTCTCGCGAAAGGCAAGAAAATTGGGATAGATAAAGTAAGAAGTGGAAGGCATGACCTCCTTTTAGTCGTACAAAATTATGCTAAGTACATCTGACTCGCGATGACATGCAGCATGAAAATTGTACAGAAAAGCCGTATATAGCAGGACAAGTTACCTCAGCAACAGTAACTTTTCCTCGGAATGAGAATTTTCCCACATGCGTTTCATCTAACTCGTGAATAGCCAAAGGCAATGCGGAGGGAATGTATCTATGACGGTGATAAAAGAAGAAAATTGTTATGCCAAAATGTGGCCAAAATTTCGGATCACGTTTTTTACGCTAATATCCGTATTAAGTGCTAGATTCACTTTGAAGAAAAATTGTTCTGCACCGCTACTTCTTACTCCTCTCTTAAAATAAAGCTCATAAATTTAAGTAATTTTCGCGGCAGCACACCAGAAAACCATGATAGAAATTAAAAAACAACAACAACAACAGTAGTTATTGGAAATGCTGGCCATTTTGAGAGGCACTAGGTGCACTTTGTTGTACTCCTGTTCGTCTTTCACAAGATCTTTTGCTTTTACTGCAGTACAAATGCTTTTGGCAAGCAGCTTATAAAGAGGGAATGAATAGGACGCAATGGGGAGTTTTCATTGACCAATGGACATCAAGTAAGAATCAGCGTAACCAGTCACGGCACTATTCGACCACTTAAATGCTAATGCCGAGTTCGCCTGAAATCACACCTTCCAGGTCGTTAGTAGTGTGGTAGCATACCAGATTTAAGGATTTTAGAAAGATATACCTCACATAAGTAATAATATTGCTGCCACGTAGGTTATTTTATAAATTCACCGAATAACAAACAACTATCACTATTCAATGTAATTGGAGTACGGGGCCCCTTCCTAAAAGCTCATTGGTTCAAAAACCATCCAATCAACACTAAACGCAATCAAATCCAGCCGCATCTACGCACTTATCAACAACTGAGTCATCATCCTGAATGGCGGTAATGTAGAGCGGTAGTTTAGCCTCATCTACGCCCTCCTTGTACTTGGCCGCTTCAAATTGGAGGGGTCGGAGGAAGAGGTGAAATTCATCATATCCCATTTCAATGGCAGTGCGCAAGTAGATCTTGGCCAGTACTTCAGTCTCCCAAAGACAGGTTATTAGACGGTGGCGTAACACAACCACATCAAGCATTTGCCCTAAGTGGTTGAGGAGAAAGGCCTTGCGTTGTTGCTTGTCACCACGGGTATTTGTATCCTGGATGGTAAAGTATCGCTCGCGCAACAGATTGGACATCTGTTTGGCGTCTTCCACGTAGGAGTTAGCAAAGAGCTTAAAAAAATTTATTTTTAAGCAAACATCACAGAATAATGGGCGACGCACGTTGTTGTACTAAATCCTTAGCTTACATCTCTTTGAAGAGCCTGCGTGTAGGAGAGCCCTGGTGGTTCTATGTTTAGCACCTCATAATGAAGCACCTCATAGAAGCGTTTCTCCAACACCAGTTCATCTATCATGCGCGTCGGATTAAGCATGTCAAAAGTCACATTGACTGCTTGCTGCATTGCCTCTGCCAGGTTGGCTGCCATTGCCAAGGAGGGTTGCAGCTCCAGCAGGTAACAGGGTGTTAGTGCTGGCCTTATTAGATGGAAATGTGCAAAAGAAGGATTACCAAGTGCCACCCCTTCCTCTGTTTAATGTAATAACATGCAAAGGTGACCTCGAATTTCCTCCCTCTCTTTACCCAAAATTGAGAGACCGGCAACTGGTCATCGTAACAATATAATCAAATGACTTTACGACTATTTTGCTTTAACTGTTAAATCACTCCCATGATACCGATAGTTGCATTGTTTAATTGGGAATAACTTAATTTACAATAAACTTACTGATCAGAATTGGGACTTATAGGGTTATTTGCAACAAAAGGGATTGGATAGCCATCCTCTGAATTAGTAGTACCCAATTTTATAAAATATTCTCTTTGTTGTTGAATCTAGACAGGAAAATATGTTTCATTGGAAAATCAAAAACAACAAGTGATTTCTTTGGACATGATTAAGGCCGACGCACCTGTGCATTGAGACAATGCTTCATGACAGCTGTTTTTAGTCGAAGAATGGCACACTCATAGCGATAGGCCAGCACAAAGTACGTGCTGCTGAGTTCAATCCGGGGCCGTTGAAACATCAAGTCCACCATTACTTGAGCCAGTCGCCTACGGCTTTCTCGTGAGCAGACGTGTTGATAGGCTTCCATGTAAACATCCATAAGCTAAAAGTAAGGATGAATTAGGTCTTAATAACGGTTTCTATAGTCTATATTGAGGGATGTTTCAAAGTCTCACTTCTTTTTTTGCTTCTTGAAAGGCGCATTCATTTGTCCAGAGATCATAAAGCACACCAAATCTATCTACCTCTCGATGTGCGTAATTAGCAATGTTAAATTCATTCTTGTTGGTCTAAAGGGTGCCAAAATTGCAATTTTAAACTCTCTTACCTCGTTAGCCGTCTGCTTGCGTTTAAAATTGGAAGCAGAACGCATTGCTTTGTCCTTTTGGATGAAATCAGTTGCTAATAGCATGAGATCTCTCTCCAATTCGCTTGAAGGGAAAAAATTTAACAGGATGGAGTTTATGGCAAGATAAAATGCAATGCCTCGGTCATTTTGAAAGGTACAATGACCTACTTAAAGTCATCTAATGCACAATCGTAGACAATCCAGTAGCCAACTTGATCACGGACATGAATTCGACAGTCTTTGTGATAGTAGAAGTCGTCATGATTCTCCACATCCGCAAACTGCATAAATTCACTCTCCTTGATCCTAATTTTTTTTAAAGAGTGAAAACATGTGCCTTTTATCCAACTTGAGGCATCTGACGCCTGAAAGCATGGTAATACTCGTTATAACTGAAGTCACGAGTCTACTCAAATGTAATTTAGTAGCGTGTGATACATACAAAAAAATCAACCGTTAAATAATTCTGTTTTGATTGTCTTTGAAAACGGCAAACCCTTGGTAAACTAATGTAGAGAGTTTATGTGTGATGAGTGAGTGTTTACGCTGAGTTGAAAGTTAATTGCCTGGTCAAGGTGAGGAATGTCTGTGAACTAGCTAAAAGCATGCAGCCAATTTTGCCAAAACTTGACGCTCAGGATCTCTTTACCTAAAATCACGTGGCGTGCTGAAGAGGTAGGAATGACCGACAAGATTATTGCTTCCACCTTGATGACCAGGTAGCTCTGGTCCTGCTCGATGATTCTGAGGACTCCTAGTAGACAAATGTAGGGGTGAAAACGGAAAATCACCTACGGAAAGTTAAATTAAGTCGCACTACTTAAGATAGCCTTACACTCGTTCTGCTCCGCGTCCGCCTAGCGACAATCCTTGATCATTTATTGTTAGCGTGCGCTCAATTGATCGGAAGTAGTTCAGCACTGAAATACACTAAAGAAAAAGGTACTCCGTAAAAATGGTATTACATACTTTAACGAACTTCAAGCATTCACACCCTCAATTACCCTCATCTGTGTTTTAATGAAATAGAAACACTTTACAATAACAATTCCACTACACATCAATCAGACAAACGAAGTATATAAAAAAGCAACTTTTTAAAGTAATTGCTTTACGGTGCGCTGAACATCACGCATTTTGAGGTGTCGCAGATGAAGGAAGGATAGGTAGCCACCCTGAACACTTGAGGAGTCGTCTTTTCCATCAGTCTGCTCCTCTAAACCCAGCATTTGCATAGCACTGTTAAAGTCATAGGCACTTCGCCCGTTAGCTTTGGTTTCGTTTGTAGCGGTCCTGTAAAGAAATGCGATGCCATTGTGTGGTTACCGATAAATCCAGGAGTCACTCAAGTATTTCAAGGAATGAAGAAGAAGTAAACACACTCATCGTAGAGTTCAGGGCTTGAGAAAATCTTGCGAAATATCTCACTCAGGCTCATTCCTTGTCGATGGCTAACGACAGAGGCAGCGTGAACGATTGGTGGATGTTGGACCAACATGGCGTGGTGACGAAGAGCATCTTGTACACGCTAAAAAGATGTGAATAGCGAATTTTGTTCAGAAATTTCCCTTTCATTCTTCTATGTGTGTATGATACAGGCATTCTTGCAGTATAATGAAATTTTGAACGCTTTCCAAAGCACCATTTAACTTTCGATAGCATATATTAGTATCGCAGGCTCACACAATGGACTCAAGTCAAGGTGGATGGCTACTACTACAACTACTACTGCTACTCTTAGCTTATACTCAGGAACCCTGACATCACCCACTTCGCAAACACACCTCAGGCTTGTTAATCTTCAGAAAGGCAGCCAAGGATCGAAGAACCTCGTCAACATTACCAGCACAACGCAATTCCATCATGGTTTTCACTAAGTCAGCATTTCGCTTTGGCTTTAGTTTAATAAATGGCAGCCAGTTGGCAGGTTTTTTCATTGCATGGGAAGGCGAGTCCAAGCCCCACCGCTCTGCGCTATTCTATAAAATTTCATTGAGCACGGTGCATTGATTTGCTTATCAAATCTTTAGTTCATTTAAAAAAATAGAAAAATTAATGCACAGAAAGAATCGAACGATGGAATTCATCCAAAAAATTAAACTTTCCTGGGCGTAAGGGTTCCTTTTACACCTAGACCTTAATGCTTTTGTTCGCTACTTAATACTATTAAGTAGGAAAGCAATATCATATTCGCAATCACTGCTCTTTCACCATAGGAGAACGCTTCACGAATTCGAAGTCAAAAGAAAAGCTAAACTGTCTGCAAAATGATCCAGTACAAGATTTGCACAGGCTGGTAAGAGAATTAGTGGCGCACGGAAAGGTAAGAGAATTTGGGTTATTACACGACTCCAGTAGGCTGGTAAACTCATGAACTCTTAGACTTACGGATGTCGCATCGTAAGTTTTAAAGGTCAACATTTCTTCTTGTTCCAAAAATAATCGCCTAAAATTTCTATTTATCACTGCAAAAAGCTCCATCTCATCCGCTGCAGAACGGATCGTTTGAATATTCTACAAAATAGAACATTCCTTTTAACTTCTTTTGAAGTTTTATACCAAGTTCTGCTGTATTAACTCACAATATCGATTCCATAGGCCTTAACGAAAATGGCCAGATGGGGTCGAATACTCGCTAGATCGTTTGTATGGAGTGGTAGACCATGATATCGTTCGTTGATCACCAGACCGCCTCCACTCGCCGCGTACTGAATATTCGTTGTTGTAGGAGGCAGTGGAATACCTGATCCACCCAATTGAGCCATAAACACTCCAGGTGGCTGAGGTGCGTGTTCGGAGAACCGAAATGCTTGGTCGATCGTCCCCAATTCGACGTCCCCAGTCATTGTCTGTCCGCGTTTTTTAGATCCGCGAGATGATCCTGTCAGTGCTGCTGCTGGTGCCGCTAAAGCTCCTGTCGCTGTGGTACCGACAGTAGTAGATGTAATAACAGATGATTTGGGAGGGTTAGGCATAGGTGAAGCAGCACCATCCTGTGAGCTGGTTGCACGACCAGTATGATCCAACAAGTCCTCTGCTCTTTGACTCACACCATCGTTACTCTCCGAGTTGCTCATTTTAATAGGTGCACCAGGAGCAGGAGCTGCACTTGCTTCTCCCGCAGCCTCGTCTGTATCGGTATCTTTCTCAGTTTCCGCCACAGAGGGAACAGCAACAGGGACAGTGGAAAGCGGGGCCTCCGCAACACCTTCAAGTGGTTCTCCACCATCCTCACTGGTGCTGCTACTTACCCCATTAGCTAGTGCAGCACGGACGGTTGCGGGACCTTTCTCTAAAACCAGGTTTAGCATCTGCCGGATGCCACCGTCCTCTTCATAATGAGATAAGTGGTAGGGTTGTTTCTAAGTATATCACTCTGATATAAGGAAAGTTTTACCGAGAGATCTTGTTTAAATCCTTCACGATGGCCATAGGGAAACCATTTAATGAGCTAGATTAAAAGGTTAGGATAGCATACGGTCTTAGAAGTACTTGAATGAGCTGATTGAAGTAGGTCTGGGATTGTAACTTTATAATAAGTGCTCTCCAATAGATCAAAAAATCGTCGAATTCAACCTCTTCCAGGCCTATGTCATTCCCAGCTAACAAGGCTTCGTCTGTCACGGACAATCGATGAGCCCTGGAACTGCACTCCAGATATTCTTCCGTTAGCCGCCTGTGAATATACAATGCCAAAAACTGTACCCAAACTTACTCGATTATATGGAGATAGTCTTTATAGACCTTCTCCACTTTCATGGTACTTGAGCAGTAGCGTTTCCACCTTAACATGAGCAGATGCTTTGCACTTACAATCTCACTCATTCTATCCAAAAAGTACTAAAAATGATAATATATTAAGTCGTTTACTTGAAGTAGAAGAGGAGGGATTGTAGAGGCATTATATTCACCTTTTTTACACGTTTCTTGATCGGCAACCATCTGGTCTGCCTGAAGAATCAGTTCCAAGGGTGAAGTAACTTGCAGAGTTCGTTGTAGAATAAGCTTGCGCCTGCGTCGAAAGTGCTCCGGATCGCGTGGAATGTAGATAGAGCTTGAGAAAATAAAAAATAAATAGGGAAATTTGATCACATCTACCTCATTCCTTTTGATGGAATGCCGTGAATAATCTCGTTCTCCTCAATTTGGGCTTTAAGATCCTGGAAGTCGGTTTTCAACCCTTCCTCTTGCACTCTCAAAAAGTCTTCCTCGTCATCCATCTCAAAGCAAACAGCAAGTATATTAGTCAAGATGTGCCGGTGAGTTGTTATAGGTCGGATATTTGGCACAGAAAATACTAAGGTGGGAGAACCCCCGACTTAAAGTACTGTAGTTGCAAATTAAAAATTATTTGTACGCACGAAGTTACAATCTTGGAATCCCACACCTTTTGGGGACAGGAATAGATATAATGTGAATAACAATCAACATGTCGAATTGATGGAGTCGAAAAAGATCGTACAGGATTGCCCGCTGGCCAATACTGAACCGACAATTTTCTAGTCTTGATTGACGTTAATGTACAAAGTAAAGAGGCACCTAATATAGATTATCTAGCAAATTACAGACAGTGCCCTTATGCAGCGAAGATACCTAAGGTACCCGCATGTGTGGTGGATAAAATTACCAATGAAGTTGACAAAAATCTACTCTTTTAGAGCATGAACTATAGATTTCTACCACTTTAATCGTTCCGAAAAATTTAATCATAATTAGACTGACTACGAAGGACGCCATTTCAAATAAGTTGCTTTGGGTTACTAGGGCATCAAATGCATTGAAACCAATACAATCATGTTGCATACAGACTATTTTCTGCACTTTGTATAAATTTTCGAATCCTATAATCGCCAAAACAAGCCGACATAGATGGGTGGTGAAAAAACCCTCGGTAACACTAAGCTGAGAAAGTTTTAATATAAAATTTTGTAGGTTTTAATTGTAAATCGAAAGGGATTCTAGCTGTATGTATGCATTTTTTGAGTTTATTTGCGATCCATCAAAAATATAATACTTTATCATTACCTTTTTATTTTGTAGCACCAGTCTTTATAATGTTAGCCTATGGCGAAGAATTTTATTAAATTTTAGGCAAATTAGATCTTGGCATTTATCATTTGGACTAAACATTGTGCATAACATGATTAGTCAAAACACTGATTAGCAGCCTTGTCGTTCTAGTGGCCCGAATCTTCATTCTCGTTGCATCGGCCTCGACCGCTTAGCATGGACTTCTCTGCAATCAAGAGTCTATCAGATGATGATTTACGAGAGCAGTTGGAGAGCAATGGTTATTGCCCGCCCCCGATTACAGGTGGCTTCCTTTTTATGACTTTTATTGCATAGATGATGCGGTCAGAGAATTAATGAGAAGAAAGCTTTTCAAATTTCTGAATCGTAAGTTCATAAGCCTTTAATCATGGCACAAATATATAGCTGGTGTCGAGTGTCCAATAAAGTAAGCTGTTCTTCAACACCACCGGCTTGCGTTATATTAGTGAAGTTAGTGAAAATAGCTCTGATGACGGGGACAAAGACAGGCACGTTGATGTACATCAGAGACGCAGCCTTGGAGCTGGTGATACTGCTACCACCACTGCTAGTAGTTTGCATATCCGTGCAAAAGCAGAGGAAGTACAACATCGTAGATCCAAGTTCCCTATTATTGTTGCTATCGGCTTCGTAATCTTGAATATCTTACTGGCTGCAACAATCATTTACAGAGATTTGTTATTCTAGCCTCCCGATGTTTGTGCTTTTGTAATGACTGTTTCATTCTGTTGTTTGTTTATTGAAGTGGATATATGTCCTCAGTGATATTGTCACTGTCTTCAAGCTACGCAGTGCTGCGCCTTTAGTAAACTAGTTTCAAGTGTCCCAGCGAAAAAGATGGAGGTCTTTGAGTGTAATCGATTAGTTACTTCCCAGGAAATTGATTTTCTTTGGTTTAAGTTCGCTGAGCTGCACGGCGCTTGTAGTATTGGATTTGATTCTCATCTTCTCGCCAACGAAATTGATCGCTACCTCCGTGCAATTTTACTGCAAGTTAACATTAAAATGAGGGGCTGGTCTGTCTCCATCTACGGAATTTTTATAGAAATATATTAAAAATGGGTTAGAACGTCGGTGGTGCACGTCAGTCTTTTGGACACTAAATGTGCTGCTACTTCCCTGTTTTGCGCACGTTTCACTTAAACAAAAAATTCCAGTCATCTGTGAGACCAAGGACTTAAAGAGGAGGTGGAAGGGTCTCATTGTTGGGGTCGTAGACTTCAAGACCCGTCCATGCCTTACATCAGGTGACAAAGTGTTCCTCTTGTCTTCCTCGTAATGCAGTCTACCAAATTGCGCCAAGTTCCTCATGCTTTATCCCTACTAAGGCTGGTCTACGTAACCGGTCACCTCACCACTATCACGATTGTAGTTAATTCGCGCTAGAATATAGCAATTTGTATTGACTTTCTCTTTCCCGGACTGTAGGCGCTTTGGTGAACCACGCCATCAAAATAAAATAATTAGCTGCTTTGATTGCTCACATCCCTCTTTCTGTGTTTCGGCAGCACCTAAGAGGTCAACTCTGAACTCCTCGTGTAGAAAGTTGGAGAGCAACTGAGCTCTGATCCATGCCAGTGGATTCTCGGCAATCTCGCATGGTAGCGGCGGAATCACCGGAATCGTTACAACTTCATTTATTTTTCAAGGACATGGAACGCTAAAGCACAACATATGACACTTATTTGATTGCCAGTATGAGTAGCGGTTATTTTAGCGCTTTATTGCTTCTCATGGATGAATTGAACCCTGGGACGCCTCCAGAACTCCTCCTCCCTGTCGAAATATAGATGCTTTCAAATAGTTCGTGGCAAGTCTCCAATTACAGTGCACCAAGTGAGCCGTAGTACCAAGTTTGTCTACTAATTTTTTTACAATCTTTTCTGCGTGTTTGATATGCATTGTCTGTCCATGTATCATGTCTCCTTCGTCTTCAATGCAATTTCAGGACGCCACAATCCTATGCTGGAATAAAACAACGAGCATTCAATCAATTTTATTGCACAGAGTTTAATGAACAGCTCAATTTGCTTTTCGGGGGAGTGACAATAGTGATTAATCTAAACAATTTTTTGACGACTGTAATGAGCATTAGTTGTCTAAAACGTCCTTTAAGGGGAAGAGGTGGGAATTCACATTGAACGCTGTACCAGAGGAGCTCGAAGACAAGTCTCTGTGACAGTTTTTGAAAGACTTTTAACCACATTCGCTTCATCTTTTATTTTGCATCCATTAAGGTGGACCATCTATGGGCTTCCCGGAAGACGAGGGGATGAAATTTTGCTTGAAATAGGAGTTGTTGTTGTTGTTGTTTTGATGCCGTCATGTAGATAAATCGGCTAAGCCAACATACCAGAACGAGCAGGTGGATGCATGGCCACACATGTCGCGATTTGGTAGAGGCAGCAGTCCTTAAAGGCACGTTCTACCAGAAGTCGGGCGCTCTCCGCGAACTCGTCGTCATTCACTCCCTGCTTTTGGAAGAGCTAACAATAGGAGAGAAGCAAAAATATCTCTTTCGGGACTAAAGTTAGCCTGCATCGCACTTCGCACCGTTGGTCAGTACGCGAAGGAAGGACGTTTCGATGTCAATTTACTCCACAGCAAACATATGTTAGCAGCCAGTCACCGAAGCCCATGCCTATAATACCTTCAGGTTGGGAAGATTGGCATTTGTTACAGAGAGGCGGGGAACCAATGCTTGACCCTTCTGCTGATGACATAGATAATCTTATGTCAGCACTCATTCCCTTCTTCACTCTGCACCTTTTTGGAGATGCGAAATAAACCTTTTCTTGTCGACCCTTCACTTATGAAGACTGAGGCGAAGAACTTGGAGGGCAGGATGAGAGACATTACAATATCCTCTTTTTAAGAGAGGAGGTTTGTGGACGTTTTCAGTAGTGCGATTTCTTCCTTTCTTCTCTCCAGACCCTTGTAGTATTTCGCTTGCGCGTGTACCTGAATGTTTAAAAGATGCTTCGGTGTTCAACTTACGTTTGCTCACAGGACTAAACTTTGAACCAAGCCGATGCGCGCTCTGCGATACTTTGTTTATGCGACCATCTAATATCTGGCGGTTACTTGGGTATTCATCTGGCCCTTGCCGCGTGCGCCGACCTTCGAGATAAGTCGAAACGTAATTCTTTTTTCCCCGTTTGAATGTATGTATTAAGCTTAACTTAATGCCTGTATTTTTTCTAGTTTGTTTAATTGGGCGGGAACCGATTGGGAACGCGGATGGCGTGCGTGAAGCCGGCGAGGAGCTTCTCTCCAAGTGATATCTCCTACTTGCGTCATCTGCATCCCATTCCCCGTTCTTCCTATAACAAACGCTTAATAAATTGTCTGCAACCAACTCTCTTGAAGTTTGAGGTTCAAGGATCAGAGGGTAGGCAGGCAGCTCTTACAATGCCCTTCCTTAAATGGCGTGAAGTGTCTGTGCTCTGCACAATTATTTCTCATTCCCCGAGGGAGTCTTAAGAGCTATAGTGTAAACTTCATGTTGAAACTGAACTGTAAAAGTATTTTGATCAAATAAGCAGAACCAGTCGTTCTAGTCAGTGGAGATTGTATTTTGCCATAAAACGAAATGATGTGCAAAAATGTAGCATCGGTAAATTAATGTTAACAAATAGCTGTGCTTTAAAAATCTATGAGTATAAAGTTGTTCAGCCTATAATATTCTAACTTTATTTAAAAATTCAGGTCAAAGCCGTTCCTCCCTTTTAATGTTTAAAATGGGCAGTCGAGTGCAAATGACCTTCACTTCGCCAATCGTTACGTAGTAGCTATTGCGGAGTGACTTGTGGGTTTTTTGTTGGGCTCGTACCTCTGCAGTGGTCGTGTGATGATTACAAGTTGAAGCAGCACAAAGGTGTGCATTTTCTCCTTTAGGAGCATCTTGGGTTTTTAATATTTTTTCGTCGTCACGGTTTAACATTTTTTCAAGAGTACTCTTTATGCAAGTCCCTCATCTTTCCTTGTTTTCTGTTCCCTTCCTTTATATTTTGCTTTGTATTTAGGAACGTTAGTTTTAATAGCGGACATGATTGATATATCTGCTTTGCGAACCATTGTCGCATTTACTATCGGCTCACCTAATTATCTTCAAAAATTAATAGATGCAAATGAGGGGTAGTACTGTCTCCCATTACCCAACAGTGCTCCATGCACGTACTTAATGCCTTTAGCAACCTCTTCATAGTTTGAATTTGTGGCTGAGTGCTTTAGTTATTGATCACTTAACCACCTACAAACCGGCTAAATTACTTAGTACAATATTTTTATCTTTAAATGGCGTGACGGCCACTATGTTTGGTTTGTATGCTATCCAATGCATCATTGAGACTCTGGTTTTGTTTGTTCCTCTAATCGCTATTGTGTCCTAAGTCCACCTTCAACATGAACGCATGTAATGCGATTTACTTTACACTTTCAGTTGCAGCATTGTAAAGCGCCAAATCACAAAAATGATCTTTACTCTCGTAAGTGTGCGCATAGTGCTTACCGCATGTTTTTTTCTATCTGAAGCGAAGTGCATTCCATCTTCTCCTCCCTTTATTCTTCATCTGGCTCGTAGCTCGCTTTCTTCATTCTGCATATTAACTAAATAAATCTTCCTGTCATATTGTTATCTCATCCTGTCTCTTCCACCTTGAACGCTGTTACAATTTCAGTCAAATTATCTTCTAGATGTCCTCACGCCTGGTTGAAACGATGATGATCAATGTGGAGGATTTCTCAGAGAGCTTTCTCACCTGCGGCACCTGCCTTTCTGGCTACGACTCGGCCGCTCACTCTGCTAAACTGCTTCCCTGCTCCCATACGGTCTGCCGTACTTGCCTAGAACGTATTCTCGAGACTCAGGTTTGTCTAATGGCTTTATTTTAAAATTTTCACTTTAAAACGCTCTTCTTCAGTCTGTGGGCATTTTGGTAGGAGATTTATTTGTAGTGTAGTTTATCACCCCCATGAAAACACTTTTACGATTCTAAAGTCATTTCGCTTTCCTAATCACTTCTTGCATTCACTTAAGGCCATTCAAATCTTAACTAGTTGGGCTAGTCTCCCATTTGCCCCATCGTTTGCACCCCTTTCTTCTGAAACGCACTCATGTGCGATGTCCTAGGTTTGTGCGAAAAAAAATGAATTTATTCGACCCGTTTCTCTTAAGATCTCTTCTCTTCTGACCTTTTACCTCAGCTTTGAGGAACATAAAGGCAGATAGACTGGAAGGCGATTTGCTGGTTGTGAGAACTATATGCTTTACTACAACATTAATCCCACCTCTCCATTTCTGTCGTCTCATTGAGGTGCCTTTTAGGGACCATAAATCCACATAAGTTTTGTTAAAGTCTACACTACCTTACTTCTTCACTCGTTCGCCGATTTTACACCTCATATGGAGTTATTTTAACTGCTAAAGACGGCCTGAGGTAAAGGAGCAGTGTGATTCACCACTCAGCTGTCCACCGGCTTCTAAAATGCAGTATTTATTATACCAGTATAGACCTCTCATTCTTTACGAAGCCTCGATTCTACACAAATAAGGAACCCGTCTTGGAAACTTTTCCACCATTTTGAACATAATTCTTCCGGTGTTGATCAATTTCGCCTTCTATTCCTCTCATGCTTGCTCCCAGATAGGAGTCCTCTTTTTTATTGTTTCACACACCTCTCCTAAATTTGCTCGACGACGTGATATGAATTTACCTGATCTTTTACTTTCCTTGTGCATAGTTTCTAGGTCTCTTTACCCAACAATGACATTTAAGGCGCATTCTTCACTTTCAAAGGACTTTGTAACTGAAATCACCATCTTTTTCTGCACTTCTCTCACCTTTTATTGGCTTACTTACATTTTTTGCCAGTATTTTTGCACTTCTGCATTCTCCAGTGCTCAGTTCTCAACTATTCTATGCGCTAACTGAAATTTTATTGACTTGGTGCAGCAATAATTGGATTGCATGACCTTTGATTCCGTAACAACAACTGACCCAGTACGTCAATTTCTTTGCCTATCTGTCAAAGCAAAAGCGTTCCTCATTTCGACACTTTCCATGGAGAACGAGTGACATGTTTATGAAGTGTAGAATGTAGCTATCCATGTCTCCTCGTGTGTGATTACTTCCTCCTCATCCCCCTCCCCATTTCCAATCCTTTTCACCCAACATTCGTTCCCATGTTTGTTTATTCGCATCTTCCTCCCTCCATCAAATACATCAGAGTAGTCACCACCCTTTCTACTGGCAATTGTCTTCTTGTGGAATGTACTTGGCAGATCATTTCGTTCTGAATGCTCAGTCCTCATTGCACGCTAAATGTTTAAGATTTCACTGACCTTTTACAATGACGGCGTCCTGAGCTTCTAAAGATGACCTCTACACCGAATTCTTTATGTTCTCTTTATAGGTCAAATGTTTGCTCACTTAGTGTTGATTCTTGCGTCGCTAGTTAAGCTGGTCTCCCGGCTTCCTTTTTTCCTGCAGAACAAGCTTCAGATAGTCAATTTCGTTCCTCTGGTTGTAATGGTTACTGTGTAGTGCTCCACCTTATCTCCTCTGTTTTAGTCTGTGAACTGAAAGGCTTAACACTCCAATGGGAGTGCTTTCTCCACTCTCTTGTTTGGTCTGCACTAGTATTTTGGATGGCCGCCTTCGTAGCAGTGTGACAACAGCGGGTGTCTTGCAGGTGCATTGCTAAGGTGCATGTATTTCACCTTGTCATCATTCATTTTCAGAAATCAGCTGATGACTGTGAGGTAAGTTATGCACACACCCTTTTCCCCCGATTTTTCCTCCTTACACATCCCGCCTCCACCCACTCACTGAAACAATTTCAGCCCATTCCCTTAATCTTCCTGCAAAATGGGTGACCATTAGATGCGTGTCACTGTTGGCATGATATGTGCATGAGGATCTACATAATTTCAACAGAAGCATTATGAAAAAGTGAGATACGTTAACTTCAACTGTGCGCGCAAAACTGCATGCCCTACCTTGTCTGGTCCACCTAGTGCAATTCGTTGTCTATGCTCATTTCTTTCCGCTCCTTCTTTACCAAGATTTACACTGACATAATGTGTGAGCATAGAACAAGAAGATTTCTCTCCCTAAAAGTTTGGATCCTCCGACAATTTGCTTTCCTCGCCGCTGGTCTTTTAAGTAATACCAAATCGCAGTTCTTTAGTAGTTTGCCAACTTCGAGGCTCTGTTCGCGTCCGTTCTGGAAATAATTCAGCTTTTTCGGCGGAACTCTCTCTTTTACATGGAACCAGCTAAGGTCTTGCTCGTTCAAACGAATCTAGCCCTTTTTGCTCTTATAACATCAATTTCCTTTGATTAGATATAAAACAAAAACGTAGCATTAGTCACCTCCGTCTGCTTCGCTTTTGTGTCTCGATCGTTTGTTTCGCGCCTTGTTTTCCACAGGTTTACTGCCGAAGTTGAAAGAAATTGGTAGAGTATAGCATGAACAAATTGAGGAGACAATGTCAAGGCATGCATTATTCTCTATCCCAGCCACCCAGCCCCTTTCTATTCCATTTGGGTCAGCGTCTTATCCTGCAATGCAAACCCTTCCACGAGGCCGTACTTTTGTCGTCTCTTAACACAGAGAACAGAATTGTCTTACCATTAATCGAGTTGTCTTCTCTGATAAATGAGGAAGGTGCTGCACGTCAAGGTGTCTCGTTGCTTGACATTTTGGAGGATTCGAAAGATTGTTCCTGTAAGGTATGACACGCGGGACGCAAATACGATGGTTTTAGAGATAAAGTGGTAACCTGGATAGTTGGAATGGAGTGGTGAAAGGACCGTTTAAGGACAAACCAATGACTTGTTCTCCTAATTCACTCGTCTGGGAAGTGTAAACAAATTGGAAAATTTTATTACATAGCGCGTAAGTAACAACCATGGTCTTCCCTTTTTGTTGAGTGGAAAAACTTTTCAATGCTTTAACTTCATGGCCAATTTTCCATGATTGTTTGGGATGTGAACTCCTCTTTCCGCCCCTCTTCTGCGCCGCCATCATCATTACTGTCCATTTTGCTGATTCTGACATGCATGAAGTAGTCTTTTTTTATGAATTGGGTTCACAGCCATTGCGATCGCCATAGTAAATGCTACACCCTCACAGTACTCGATGGCCCACCTCAAAAGCGTATGTTTCCCCTTCTACGGCAACTTATCTTGTTCTCTTGGTGGCGCCTTTGGAGCAATATCACTTTTGGTGTGCGAGAAATATCTCAGAATATTTTTACCTCTGTAGTGTATTTAAGCATGAATACATATGGTTTGAGTGAAGGAGTGAGTCGCCCACCTTAGATGATTTCACTTGCCTCAGCACAAACGTGCACAATCGGCCTTTTAAAATGGTTGCTTCAGTAATCTTTTCCTCTTGACATCACTAGGCAGACGAAGAGACAATGCGTTGTCCAATCTGCCGTGAGACGATTCTGGTGCCGCGGGGCAGTGGTGGTGCAGCCACTTTCCCACCCGCCTTCATTGTCAACCAACTCCTTGATCTGATGGCTAGCCAACGACGAGATCGCGTGCCCAAGTGCCGTCGACACCCTAATCAGGAGTTGCTCTTCTGCGAAACCTGTGATGTCATCTTCTGCCCTGATTGTCGTGGTGGTAGCACCAGGTCAGTTTGAGTTTGAACTTAAATAGGATTGCATCGACAGGATATCTCCATGATTTGCGGGAGTTCTAGGAGTCTCTTTTATCTCCATTTCACGTAGGTGTGATTCGTCTGCCAAATGGAGAGGTTAGAAAGTACAAGGGAGAGCAGGTGTGTTCTATTATGTCCTTATTAGTCATTCCGCGAGAGAGATTATATCACGAAGATAAAAGCAGCGATGAACATGTTTCGTGCGCGTTTGAGAGTAAAAGAGTGAAGTAAATACGCATCAAACATGAGTTAGTGCGAACTCTAAATACTCTCAAAAGGCAGGGGTTGACAAACGATGACAGATTTTTTGGCTCATTGCCACTATTAACATCAACTTTTTGCGCTCGAAGGGTAAAATGGCTCCCCCATTTAAATTGTCACTAAGACGGATTGTGGAAGTGTTTCACCTGCCGCACCTAGGAGAGAGGGTGGGCAGATTTTTCTGTTGACATCACTTTTCAGTTTATTCGACTGCCTAAGCATCTCCCTTCATCTGTTGCCCAGTAGACTCTTTAACCCGTACATCTCATTACCTTTGGTATGGCTCCCTTTAGAAGGCTGTAACGTTTATGAAGGAAAGGCAACATTGAATGGCTACGATCCTCCCTTCATCAGTCCCATTTTGAATAAGGGAGGTAAGGGGAGCCGTTGTTGGGCTGAGAAAATTGAAGCACTAGGATGGAAGCGATATGGTATACTTTCGTACTTTGGATAAGTATTGGTAAAATTACTAGTAAGTCTGAGGAATCCCCTAATGGCGTCGATGCTGCCATTAGGTGGCGCAAAGGCCACTGCTGTGGACTTTTGTGACTTCGATGGTCGAGGTATCAATCCACTCACGAACTACGAATTGGTATCACCAGTCACCAACGACTCACTGAAAGGTATTAGGATGCGAATTCTGCGATGGAATCAGTCTCTTTTGTGTATTTAATGCTTACTGGCCGGCAGAGGCTCAATTTATTGATGAAAGTCACTTTAGGCCATTCGGAATGAAACTTTTTCCATCTAATCTAGTTCCTTTTATTGTTTTTCAAAAAAGCAACATTCATTATTTCGTCAGACTTAAAGTCTTGTCTTTTCCCGAAGTCATTACTAGTAAATTTTTTACTACCTCCGAATTGGTAAGCAGATCCTTTCATTGAACCACATTTTTTGGTCTTCAGAGGTCATGCGACTGAGGCCTGCAGCGGTGTGGACGCCAGTAGTGGTGGGAGTGGCACTGGTGCAGCTCTCTCCCACAACGTTATAAGCTTCTCCGTAGCCATCAAACGCTGCTCTGAGATTCTCCTTTACAAGGCCAGTCTCTGTGTGCAAGAGCTTAATAGTGCGCAGGAGGCTGTAAGCGCCGAACTACAGCGCCTCGCAGAGTCTTCTGAGGCTTGTGTCACCGTGAGTGATCTTCTTCCTTTGCATCACATCTTTTTTGAACACATCCAATCTAATACCTTATTGCTCGGTGGAAATTCATGTTGATAGCCGAACATAGATTCCTATGTGTTCAGAGCTTCCTTCGTTTCTTCCTCTCGTAGTCACTAAACTTCTACATTTTTGATGATGTTTGGATGGAAGCAGCTGATTTCCTTGATTGAAAATAAGCCCTCTTCTCAGGTCCATTGATTCCTTTCACTTTCTCCGAGTCGGGTTTCTTGTTATTAATACACCTATTCTCTTTTAGCATTGCTCGACTTCTCTTTCTTTTATGGCCTCTCGTTGAGTGGCATCTCACCCGTAAGGACTATCTTTGTATCCCAGTTTTCTAGTTGTTTATTAGCCCATCCCTCCTCATTAATTCCCTTTTGTTCACAAATTTTAGCGGCCAACACCAATGCCTGTTTACGTGACCGTTTTTATCATTCACCCTTTCCATCACAATTCGCCACCCACACTCTATCCTTTTGTACTGCTATCTGTAACGCCCCAGTCCGTCAATTGATTAGTGTCTCTCAATAGTCACTTAAATTTGAGGAATCTGTTGGATTCAACGTTGATCGTCTGCTAACTTGCGCTCACACCACACAAACACACACGTGAACTAGGTAGCCTGGGAATCCTTTCTCTTTCTCATCAACGACAAGTTGGCATCACGGCGACTTCAGTTTTATGCATTGCACATTTCTGTGCTTTCACATCTAGGAGAGCTAAATTTGGGTTTGCACATTCTCCATTGTTGTTTGGTCGTCGCCGTCTCCCTCATTTCGTCCACCCTCATCATCCCTCACCCCAATCCCACATATTTCCGTCGGTGGTGGATGTTCTTTTTTTCTCCACTCAGTATATGTTCTTTCCTCCTCTCCTTCGGATTCATAACGCAAAGTGGCTAGGGTGTGCAGGAAAGCAGTGGCCGCCATTGTGATGGTGTGCATTGCTTTTGTTTCCGAAGGCTAGAATATCGTTGTGATGTCTTCTATTGGACGAGTAATAACTTTGCTTTGATGGACTATGATATGAACGGTCAAATTACCTCAATGTGGCATTACGTCGTCTGTGGGTGAGAGTTGCTGCCTTGACTAATAGGCAAGTCAGTGGCAGAAGAGGGCTGTAGACCGTCTCACCTCTAATGGCAGTGGAGGGGTTTCCTTGTCTTGCGATCAGTATCCTTGTTGCTCACCTCCTGCCTCGAATGTCACCTGCGGTGCAAATGAGTGTGGAGGATTTTGGTGGCCTTCTGCTGCCACAGATGGTGTGTGGATGTGGGGAAGTGAGAGATGGTGGTTTCGAGTGGTTAATTGGTGGTTGGACGTAAACCCTGCAACCGTTTGCTGTCTGTCACTCTTTTGGGTGCTGGCTTGTGTGCGTGCGTGCGTGCGTGCGTGTGTGTGGGTGGGTGCGCGAGGTCAGCATTGACGAGATGCCTTCCTTGAGGTGTAGTAGTTAGTTTAGCTGCTGTAAACGCGTCATTTGCACGCCACCGTCAACCACACCAAAAGCGGTTACTGTCTTTGAACTAATGAGTGTAAAATCTAAGCATTCTTTAAGAAACATTTAAAGATTATCCACTTGTCGATTTGACATCTGTGTTGTTCTTGGGCAGAAACAGCAACTTTTCGGCTACTCATGGTATGGCACTATGGAAATATGAGGACGGACCCTACAGCAAAATGCTGTAGGGTAGGAGACTTGCAGTTCGTAAAAGCCTCTAGTTCCGAATAGTGAGGTATCACTTTGCCTAATGTTAATTAATATTCATAATTTTTTGAAATAAGTCACATCATATTGCCACTAGAGCATTGCAATAGGTGTGAATGCATTTTCGCTCCATCATGCGTTTTGCCTTGTGGTCAAAAAGGTAGGTTTCTTGCCAGGTTACAGGAACACGACAATGCCTCATTATTCTAGCATGTGCTTAATTATCTCAGGTGCCGGTTTTCTTTACCTAGTTGGGCACATACAGGTAGATAACATTTTTTGCCACTTTAATTTCGCTTCTTTTATAAAAAGCGGAAGAGAATAACAGATTTGTTAGTAAAACTTGGTTCCCTTTAGGCTTTTTTGCATTCTCCCCTGAATGAGTAATGGATCTGTTAAACAATTGTTAGGGTTTTCGGCAGTTACAGTCGGAATCAGATACCAAGACGGCTCCAACACTATCGTTGCATTCTTTCATTACCTACTTATTGTTCTTCTTCAATTATACCAAAAAATGCGGTGTCTTTTCTTCACTTCCTCT